GAGAGAGAGAGAGAGAGAGAGAGAGAGAGAGAGAGAGAGAGAGAGAGAGAGAGAGAGAGAGATTTATCCCCTAAAATGTTTGTTTAATTTAAATGGGTTATATTTACAGGATTTCAGCTCATGTAGTAATTATTATTTAATTTTCATATTTACTGAATTAAATTTATTTACCTCTCAGTATGGTTCTAAATAAGTTTGGCACAAAAAAACACCTAGTAGAATTAAATCTAGCAGATATTTATGATAAACACCTGCAGCAGACTCACAGAGTGATTTTAGGGGAAAAGTTAAAGTCTAACAAAGACACAGAGACATCTAAAACTCTTCTTTAATATTATTCTGAAGTGTTTGTAAGAACGCACGCTCCCGCGGCAGCGCTGCTCCTTTGAAAATCAGGAGTTCACACTTGAGGTGCACGTCTGTATGATAACGACGACACTCCGACACACTAATGTCTGAATAATAAAGAGTTTAGATTCTGAAGTCCCGGGCTGCCTGGAGGCGCACTGTGGGTAGAGAGAAGGTCAAACAGCCTCTGAGCCCCAGCTTCAAAAACAACAGTCAAGCGATCTCTTGCAGTTTTGTTGTGTGCGTGAACACATAGTGTTTAGTGGAAACACTGCAAGGTGGTTTCAAAAATATTATAATATGTAATCCTCGGTGGAAAATAGACCTGGAAATGACTCAAAGTTGCAGCTCCTTGCACCCGCTGTCAGTCAGACAGCATGACCCGCCCTGCTCTGATCTGACTGCGTAAAACGTTGACTGAGGTTCTCTCTACTGGTTGAAAGAACAGTCGGTTTAGAATCTGGATGGCTTTAAGACATTTATTCCCCCTTTCATTACTAATGACAGTCAGCCGTCGTGGAGAGCTTTTTTCATCTTTTTTATTGGCTGTCTACSGGACAACCAGTAGGCGGGATCTGGTTGTCTGAAAGAAAAACAGGTTCTTGGACAACCTAAATAACACTTATGTTGACCCCTGTATAGGTTTAAAAATACAACTTGCCGACAGTTTCTTAGAAGTCAAAATTGTGTACCGTGAAAAAGGAAGTCCCACAGTATCTGACAACCATTCCTCTCACAAAACCTTCATGTGCCTGAAGAGTGCGGACACATTCATGCTTGGTAAGGTTCCACACTTTCACCTTTTGATAGAGGAACAAATTCAAGACAAAACAAAATTTAAAAACGTAATTATTTACGGTTCTTTGTTTCAAGTGAGTTTACACCCAGCGGTTTACCTGTCCATCACAGGAGCCTGACAGCAGGGTGGAGAGACTCTTTGTATGCTTGGCCATACAGTTCACGCCATCTCTGTGACCGTCCAGGGAGGCCAGGAAGGGCTTGGCAAACACCCGCTCCAACTTTGTGGCATTCAGGGCCCGTGTGTACTCTCTGCTCACCTCGAAAGGATGAAGGGACGGGTCATAGTTCCTGGGAACTAACAAAAGGAAAGCAGGCAGGGCATGATGATAAAACTGACAGAATAGTTCAGTAGTTCCCAAACTGTGGGGTAGGGCTGCCAAGATTAATCGATTAATCGACGACTAATCGATTATTAAAATAATCGATGACTACTTTAATAATAGATTAATCGTTTTCTTTTTTGTTGTTGTTCTTTACTTTGTTTTTCTCTCCAAACTGCTTTGACACCTTCCACTGCCACATCTGCCTTTCTGTCCTTGACACACATGCACAGTAGTGGTAACTGGGGTAGGCCGTGGACGTCACAAGACATTATACAGACAGGCTCTGGTATCATGGCTATCTGACAACAGAGCTCAAAAGTGTGGGATCATTTTAAGAAAATGAAAGAGAAACCTGTACAATATCTGTAAGGCAGAACTTGCCTTCCACAGCAATTATTTTAGTTAGCATATAGTTAAAGTCTAATGATGGTTATATAATAGCAGCTGCATTCTGACATGATAAGCTGTATGTTTTTTATTCAATTAACGTATGATCTGATTAGTCGACTAACCGAATAAATAATCGGTGATTAATCTATTATTAAAATAATCGTTTGTGGCAGCCCTACTGAGGGTGCCTCTCCCTGAGGGGGGAACCCAGGGCCAAGCCAGGAGAGAAACAACATTCAGTATAAATTTTTTCAATGTCAGAACATGCAGCAAGAGATACTGATATAGCAATGCCTTATTGCAGCCCAAACACACAAAACAAGGAACATATTTATTACTATTTCTTATTTTTCTCTTTAACAGAGTGTAAGTTTCAAAATGGAGAGGTTTGTTACAACGACAAAAAGTAAAATGAGCAGTCTTTCTTAAATAACATGACCGAGTTGGCCTTTGTGAACAATAACGCACCACCAAAACCCAAGACTAGAAAATTTGACAGAGTATGATGCAACGACATTTGGTCTGAAGGACCGCACCGTTGCAGTGACAAGTTTATTAAAAASGGAATGTCATTGAAGACAGTCAGCAGCTTAGTATTTAATTTAAAACCTTAGTCAGCCACAAAGAAACTGAGTTAACTGGTTGTGATTCAAGGGAGAAGACGGTCACATTTAATGAGTTGAGCACTATGGTGAACTGAGGTGAGGTCTGCTCCATGCTTTGATGCACTCTAGATGTTCAGTGTTTTGTTACTCTTTAGAAAAGCTTTTACATTTGAGGAATGCAATGAACAAAACCGACACTTTCTTGCAGTTCTACAATGTTACAGATTAGATATTAAAAGTATTCGTGTCAGCTTTTGTCGATATGAAAGTTTATAGTACAGTAGAAAGAGCTACAAGGGAAATGTAACGTTGTAGCTTTGTTGTTTACCCTGTCGGAGAGTAAATTTAAACTTACCTCGCTGAATATCATGTTTTGTCTCCCGGACATAATCATCCGGATTTCTTGAAAGAACTTTGACTTTCATTTTGTAGCGAAACAACGCAAAAAAAACGATACAGAAATTTTTATTTTTCTACAAAGAGACCAATGTTAGCATGAAAAGTGGCCATGCGCTGCTAAAGAGGTAGTAGTTCGGCTCCGCATTGCATTGTGGGATGCTGGGTCCTCCTCGTTGCGTCACTCAAAAAGGTCATGCTAGAGATTTTGATATAGTATAAAACCGGAAACTTCACCGAAAACTTTATTTTCCTCTAAGTACCATCTGGTTCTATATATAGGTGGACCATTCCTCCTCCAAAATAAAGCATGTTAGGTAGCCTATTTTATACTAATATGTCAATGTTGGAACAGAAAAACAACTGTAGGCTTTAGTTTACAGTCTATGTATTTTTAGCAGAGTTGTCAAGTAGTGAAGTACAATACTTTGTTACCTTACTTAAGTAGTAATTTTGGTTAATTATACTTTACTGGAGTAATGATTTTTCAGCCTACTTTTTACTTCTACTTCTTACATTTTTATGCAATTATTTGGACTTTCTACTCCTTACTTTTTAAAAATGCAAAAAGTATTTCATTTCCATTTCACTTTGGCTTGTATGGGGTAAGACAACTGTCAGAATCATTGTATGTGTAAGATTCTAAATTTGTACTTGTAAGTCTATAAACGTACATGAATTTGTTACAACTTTGCCACATTACAGGAACAAATCAAATTTACAAGTACAATTCAATAGCAGACATTATGCATGGAACACCGAAAAGATCGATTGAAAACAGTAACTAAGCCAGACCACTGGGGGGACATGACCACTGCCTCATTTGGGACCAGACGAACTCTTTATAAACACGACAATTTGCTGAAGGGAAAAGCATTTGGAGGCTTTTCAGTTTGTCATTCATGTCATGTAGTACAACAATAAAGTAGATAGTGGATTTATGATG